AAAAAAAAAAAAAAAAAAAAACAGGGCTGGGACTGTAGTGCAAGGTCCTGGGTTCAATCCACAGTACCAGCAAAGAGAAGAAAAAAGGAAAGGACATTTTGTATCACGACCCTGCTAGATACATTTACATATTCTGTAACACAAAGCACTTTTGAGTACTTTTTTTTTTTTTTAAAGCAGACAAGAAGTAAAAATCAAACAAAAATGTGTAATGCAGGAATCTTTATAGGATAATTCTTTTTCATTTGTGTTTTTTGTTTTCTGAGAAAGGGTCTTGATATGTAACCTAAGCTGGCCTTAAATTTGAATCTTCCTGCCTCATTCTCACCAGTCCTGGAACTGTAGGCATATAACACCACGTCCAATAGGATAACTCTTAAATCTTTTGTTACTCTCAGAGAATCACAAAATTACTTGCCTTGTGGGAGAAATACTTTTTATAATTGTTATTCTAGACAAGTTTTTTTTAAAAAGCTAGGTTTTATTGCAGTTGAATTGTTGAAATGAATTCACCTGTGATTAAGCACTTCCCTGGCAAGCACAAGGGCCTGAGTTCAATCCCTGGTTCCGCCAAAAAAAAAAAAAAAAAATTTTTTTTTTCTTCCAACTTAGCTTCAGCTTGTACATTTAATTTCTTTCTTTTTTTGTGGAACTGGGGACTGAATTCACACCCTTGTGCTTGCCAGGGAAGTGCTTATTCCACTGAGCCATCTCCCCAGTCTCCATTTAATTTCTTATACTTAAAATACTAATAGTGCCTACCTATGAAGGATGTTGATCAATAAAGTGTAGTCCTGAAGAAAGTCATCTGCTTGAAGCCGGCTGCCATTTCTAATTCCAAATTCTGACAACTTCTTATGATTATTAGCTAGGAAATATGAAAGGAACATCAATACTTTGTTTTCATGAAGTCCGGTTAGTTTTTTAAAAGTTAAACTCATGTTATAGGCCAAACTGTGTCCCTCTAAAATTTGTACGTTGAAATCCTAATTCCTAATACTTCAGAATTTACCTGTATTTGGAGACAGCTTTTTGAAGACATGATTAAGTTAAAATGGTCCTTTATGGGTAAGCTTTAATCTAAGCTGACTGGCATCTTTATAAAGAGGAAATCTGTACATAGAGAGAGACTTAAGGGATGTACCCCCCCCCCCAGAGGGAAGTCTGTGAAGACACAGAAAGCCAAGGAGGGAATCCTCAGAAGAAACCAAACCTACTAACACTTTGATCTTAAGACTTCCAACTTTCAGAATAAGAAAACAAATTTTCACTGTGGTATTTGTTACAGCAGCCTTAACACACAAATTCACTATAGGTAGTGATGGTGACCCATTTAGAACATCCAATGATAACAGCCAGCTGAGCTGTGGCACAGAAGCCACAGGTTGGTCATCACTTCACTAAGATACTAGGCACTCAGGACTTCACCTGGAACACATTCAACTACCAAAATTACTTCAAGGGGATCAAATTCTGAGGATCCTTTTACATTTTAAGCAAATTAATTGTAATCTCCTGAAAGAGTCAGAAGCAACTTCATTTTTAGTATTGTGGATTGAACCTAGATCCTCACAACACGATAAAGAAGACCTACCATTAAGGTACCTCCCCCCCAGGGTCTAACATCTTTCAACAAACAGCTACTGAAGCCTCCCCAATAATAATCACTCCAACCTGTTTTTCACATGCCATTTCTACTTTATTTGTGTGTTGTATGGGGGATCAAACTCGGCACCTTATGCTTGCTAGGCAGGTGCTTATGTCACTGAGCTATATCCCTGGCCTCTACTTCACTGTAATATCCTAGTATCATTCTTGGTATCAATAAACTTTTGTTTTCTAGATGCAATACCACATACCCGTAGTTCCAGCTACTAGGAAGCTGACCCAGGAAGCTAATGTGAACCTTTAAGTTAGAGACCAGCCTTGGCAATGCTGAGGCACCATCTCAAAATAAACAAAACCCATTTGCTGTGTTACCTATAAACAATCCATGACAAAACTATCCCCTTCTACCTACCTAACTAAAGTCTTTTTCTGCCTACTAATTATCCCTTCTTTCCTGCCAATATCTATTCATTCATTCATTTTGTATCTTAGTAAGGGTCAGGGTCTCACTATGCAGATCAGACTCATAGTGATCAACCTGTGTTCAGCCTCCCAAAAGCTGGGATTACAGGTACATGCCACCATGCTGGGGATCAAACCCTAGCCGCTGGCATCTGCCTAAACAGGGGCTTTATTTTTTTACAACCAAGGGTCAAAATATATTATTTCTATTTTTTAAATGTCATTTCGAAGTAGTTGATAATCTGATAGTAGTCCAATTCAAATAATTTTTTTTAATTTATTGAGAAATAAGTATGAATGAGAGTTTCAAAGCTGAATAACAGAACAGTTTCGATAATACATTGTACATTGCAATCTTCTTAGTGGTTATCCATAGTACAAGAAGCAGACAGGATATTCTGTCCAAACACTGTTAATACACCTCTTTCTTCTCATTGAATTAAGCAAAAGTAGCTGTATACCTACCCTATTTTTGTATATATAAACACAAAATGATCTTTCCATTGTATCCCCCCCTTTTTTCTTTAGTCCTGTCAGAGGTGAATATTCTATTGGCATCTAAATACTAAGGTGTTTGAATTCAGCTAAAAAATCCAACACTGTCTAGCAGTCTATAATATTAGTGGGTTATCATCAGAAGTTATTGGCTTGAGCCTTTTACAGCTCATCGTATTAATATGGCTTTACTTTATATACCTTGTTTTTATGCTTTTCTGCTAGATGGTTAAGACCAAGATAAAGCAAGAACTATATAACAAGAAATGTAACTTTTTTTT